AATTACATTGTTCCCTTTTCAACCAACAGTAGTTTTTGAAGCTCTTGATCAACAACCGATTGGTACAGTTAATTGTTCTGTACATGAAATAGCATTTGCAACATCTGTATTGGTTAACAGTGTAAATTAAAAGATTAATTTATGAAACTGATAATAATATAATGAGCAAGCATTTGATAATATTTTTTGAAAACAATTAATTAAATCATTTTCCGGCAGTTGGAATGTCTAATATTAGGATTCCGATTTGTAGAGAATGATTGGAATTGTCTTTCCATAAATCGAGCTAAAGAACTTCAAAATGGTGGTCGAAACCTTTCATATTTTTGTAAGACTTTTGCCAGTAAAAATGACAACAGAGTTCTGTCTACTGAAACTGAGAATGAAAAGTAAATACCCAAAGAAAAAAATTTGTCATGTAAGATAAAGAAATTATCTACAGAAATTGAGGAGGTATTTACATGTTGATATAAATTCAGTATGCACAACAGAAAATAATGAGAAAATAATTTCGAGTCTTATTGTTATTGAAAATTTTGATACCATGACATATCCTACAATGTTTCCTTATGGTGATCCTGGATGGACTGTTAACCTTAAGCATACTCAAGGTAATTGTAATTTTATTCATTTACAATTTTATATGTATAGTCTTTCATAGAGAAGAAAAAAGCGGGGATTGACACATATGCGTTTAATTATATTTTTACGTGCACAAATTTGCGATTCAAAAACTTTAAATAAAATGATATGTGCTGAAATCACAGACGAAATGAAGAATCCAGTACTTTTTAACATTATAAAGCGATTTTAAGTTCATGGGCCTTGTGGTAAACAAAATAGGAATTCACCCTGCATGGATCCTGAGATGGGTCAATTAAATATATTGCTAACAATTCGACGATCGTAGCATATAATCTTTATTTAAGTACAAAATTTAAAGGTCATATTGATTGTGCAATAATAGGTATTATATTATTATAACACCATAATGTTGAAATAGTAATACAGTAACGATTTCAAAAATAACATTATTAATTTTGTGAGATCAAAATTCCAATAACTTTTCGTCAAATAAAAATAAGTTTTTAATTTATCATAAAAAATTACAGATACCACGCGCGTTTACGCGCGTTTCTTTTAGCTAGTTATTTTATAATATGAAAAGAACATAGTTCTAGAATATTTGTACCAATAAAGTTATGCAACTATTCTAAAACAAAGGAGTAACAGAGTTCTAGAACGTTACAATTATGTTACAGAAAAGTTCTGAAATTTTGTTCTGGAATTTTTCTGTAACAAATGTTCTGTAATTATTTTAGAATATTTTAATCGCAAAGATTACAGAACTTTGTCTTCGTTTAGTTCTAGATCTGTGTTGTTACTCTGTTAGGTAACATATCTAAAACGATATTCTACAATCATTATAGAAAAATTCGTTTTATATAATTAATTCAGAATACGAAAGTTGAAAATGTTTTCGAAATTTTGTTCTCTTTTTATTGTATACCTAACAATTTTAAGTAATGTTTACATACTTTTTTAAAATTCTGTCTTGTTTAACAATTGTTTTTTAAATTATAAATTTATTCTAAATTTTTTCAAATAAAAACAAGAAAAATTCTTTACAGTTTTTGTAGAAATTACAAATATGTGACATGAAATGAATTCAAACTTTGAAAATATGAATGTTTCAATGAAATTTTTTACTATATTACTATTTATTTATTAATTTCTATATTCACACAATTTTACTTTAACAATTATTGTAAAGAATGTTTTATTATTAAATTTACGCGCGCGTAGACAGCTAGTATAATAATAATTGAAATATATTAAGATAAACATAATGTTATCCAAACTGTTGACAACTATTATTAAATAAAATAGTAAAAGGATTAAAAATATCTTACTTATTAAAATGGCGGTGAGTCAATTATGTCATTGATTTTCTAATTCAAAATAAAATATAAATAAACTCTTAAATTCTTCAGCGATTCTTGCTAAAGAACAACAATGTATAAAATCTTTTTTTACTTTAATAAATTTTATTGTGTGAAATGTTAACTATTGTTTGTTTAATAAATGTCAACTCTCGAACTCATTCCCTACAGAATTAATATTATTTAATATTATTAAATGTAATTCCTCAATAATTATGGCTTCAGGTAAACTCTTTTCTCTGCCGATGCCAGGCGCTCAAAATAATTAAAATAAAATAAATCTGATCGCCTTTGTAATCTGTCATCTATTGAGTTTTCCCGGACTCGATCAAGATCTTAATAAATATTTATTTTAAATCTAAATGACAAGTTATAACTTTTAAAAACCTTGTACAAAATGCATGAGCAACCATTGTGGCAGAGTTTCGAATATAACAAATTTTGAACCGATGATATTTTTCCGAATTTAAAAGATAAATATTGTTATTAAAAAATATTAAATTGTTAAGGAAAATTTTCACAAATAATAATAATTAATAAGAATTAAAGGAAAAAAAGAGGAAGAAAGACAGAACCTTAATAAAATATCTCGCGCTGTGGGTACAGCATGTGTTGGATAGCTACGGTTACACACACACATATAAGGATTTTCGTGCCTATGAGTACGAACAACCATGTGTTTCTCGCGCTACGGGCATAAATATAGCGCTTGTACGTAACGTGTTAAAGATATCGTGTTCACAAAAAAACCACACGCACATACACACATATACATATGGACAGTTGATCAGGATCTCACATAACATGTTTCTATAAAGAAGACAATTTGTTTTCATCATTTTTAAAAATTTTATAAACGAAAGGACTACAAAGCTTCCTCCACGAGGAAGCAAAATGTGAAAAAAATCTAACATATTTTGTGGGTCAAGAGGATTCTAAATTCGGGTTAAGGGTTAAGAAAATCGAAAAAAAAGTTTTCGGTGAAACGTCCTAATATTCATCTATTACTAGAAAATATTTGGTTTTTAGGGTTCCGATCACACAATGGACCGTGATGGAACCCTTATGGTTTCACTCATGTTCGTCCTCAAAATCATGTCCCCCCTAAAACCTAGCAATTTGAACCGATGGAGCTCAAACTTGGTACACATATTTAATTTCACGTGGAAATTTCACGAAAAATATAGCCAACACCTTTGAAATTGACTTAAATATTGTTTAGCTACAAAAACTCGAAATTCCTTAAAAAAACAGTATGTGTCCTCTTAATCTTTAAAGTTTTAGAGCTAGTGAGCTAGAAATGAGTATAATTATGTAATTTCACTAGTAGAGTTATAGAAAAATATAGCAAATTGCACTAAAATTAGTTTAAATATGAGGTTATTGAAAAAACTCAAAATGCGTTGAAATATCGTGTTTTTTCATTAAACTTACACATTTAAAAATTAAAAAATTGATCATCACTTGACTAATTTTTTATGAAGCAGTCATTAGATCTGCCGCCCCAACAAGAATGCTAATCTACTGCTACTCTTGTTAGGACGGCAGACATATCGTGACTACCGCAAAATCACTTATTTTAGAAGAGGTCTCAAAAACCTGTTGTCATTGGCTTAATTTCTAATATTTATTAACAAAAATTTTATAACTTACTTATTTTATAGTGTACTTTAATGTAACTAAGTGCTTAAATAAAATTATTTATTATATGAAACAAAATTATAAAAATACATACATTTTTTGTCCTTTTTGACCTATGTAAATCCCTTAATTGTACGGCCTTAGAATCTCAAACTATTAATTGTAAGAGTAATTCTAATATTGGAGGAGTATTAGGACTACCATTTTCATTTGACATTATTAACGAATAAATAAATAAAATTTTTAATCATTACTCTAGTTTATAGATACTTTTGATGTCAGGGGCCAAGGCCGCTCTGGAAGATAAATATGGAGCCGATAGATCAAATGCTATGATGAAACCTTTAGTTGATTGTACATTAAAAGCATTCACCCGAGGTTTACTAGATGGTATATCTAGTATGATAGAAGCTAGAAATTCTAAAATAATTAAAAAAGCATTAAAAATTGCTTTGGAATTTGAAGCCCGACATCAGTATCATAAAACTGGATGCGTAACATTATTCGAGAAATTCTCATTCAACCATTTACTAATTAGCAACAATCATATTTTCAACACTTAAATCATTATCCTCCAAATGCATATGTCTCTTATAATTCATACCCTTATGTTCATCATTCTTCCTAATAACAGTTTTTTGGAACTACACTAGAGTCTCCGAAGAGAGGACAGGAAGAGTCTTGGACCTCTCTACGGAATTCGTCCTTGACGCCGAAAATTGTAAACACTCCAGGGCCGTATATCGTATCACAGAGATGTGTTTTTTTAACAGAATACATTCTATTATATACATAAAACACTGCGCGAGAAAGGTACACTAAAAACAAACGCTCCTGAGTTCACGTTCCTCTTTCTGATCCCGCCCATCTCTTCCCCCCTCACTCCTTACCGCGCCGCGTCACTACTTAGTCCTCTCTTCAGAAGTCCTCTCTTGGGAGACTCCAGTGTAACAGCATCATTGTTAGTAGATACTGGAGCAGATTTAATTTTATTTAAATTATACGTGCGTAAAGTCCGTAAAGTCCGTTTTTAAAAATTTAAAATGGCGGACGACAATTTTAAAAATCAAACCAATTTACATGAAAATCGTTACTCAGGGGTTTTTGGGGTCGCTGATTACAAATCTGGAATCAGTTTTAAAAAATTCAAAATGGCGGATACAATACGGCGGACGATTTTTTTAAAAAATAATTTAATTGATTTAAAAGTTGTTACTCGGGGGTTTTTAGGGTCGCAGATTACAAATCTAAAGTCAGTTTTTTAAAATGCAATTGTTTAAAATTTTACTTTAAATTATTATTAATAAATTGATGGCTTTAAAGGGTTAAGTAATTGACTCTATATTAAAACAAGTATTAAGTACATGTACATTACTAATTCCAAACAAAGAATATTATGATGAACTAAATATTTACTCGGAAAAATGTAGCAGTACTTCCTCCTTGAACAGCACCATACTTTATCTTTGTTTGCTTTGCAAGATCATCTGCACTTTCAATTGGAGAATCCATCCTTTCAACTGTAAGAAATGCTGCTAAGTTTGCAGTATAAGATGATATCATTATTAATGTGAAGAACCACCACATTCCAGCAACCATTCTCGTTGACATAGCTCTGTAAAAGGTATTAAATGCTGCGGATCAATTCGAACAACTAGGTAATTTAAATTGAGGTTTAGTCATGGAACTATAAATTATAAAATTAAATAAACGTAAAAGCCAGACGTGTTATGTGAATGAAATTGGTGTTAGTGGACTAAAGACAAACTCAATAATACTTATTTTTCTTCAGATAAATGACAATTATCATGAGCCTAAAAAATTATAGGAAACTAGCGTCATATCCTCTCTCGCTAACGCTCGCTCGGTTGAAATTGTACTCATTATTATTTACTTATTTCAGTTCATTCATATGTATTTACTCTATTTCTTAAATTAATATTATAATAAATTTATTATTAATTTTAAGTTTTATATTTTTAAGAAATCTTTAATACTTTTCATAAATAAATAATCTATTTTTATCAATATAATGATTTGTGTTTTGTTCTACATTAGTTTTTTTTATGACTATAAAACGGTTGAAATATAACAAAATTTTAAAAATTTTATTTCCTATTACAATTTCGATGAAAGTTCAAAATGAAAATAGACATAAAATATGAACTACTTTTACAGAGGAAAGAAATATATTAAAAAGATCTGAAAAAAAATTGTTGAAAAAGAATGTGAAAAACGAAAATTCTTGGCCCAGTGACGTCACGAAGACGACAAAACAAACATTTTAATATAATAGAAGATTTGTGAAAAATTTTGAAATAACGATAACTTTAAAAAAAATAAATATTTTTTGATGAGATTTGAAATTGGGATGCATTTTACATGTGAATTACTGAAAAATAACAAAAAAGTTGCAAAATTTGCAAAAAAATATTTTTTGCAAAAAGTTGCAAAAAAAAAAATTCAGATTTTTTTCTAATTCATATGTTTAATTTATGTTTAAATTCTAATTTTGAATCATATCTGAACAAAAATTGTTGAAAAAGAATGTGAAAAACAAAAATTCTTGGCCCAGTGACGTCACGAAGACGACAAAACAAACATTTTAATATAATAGAAGATTTGTGAAAAATTTTGAAATAACGATAACTTTAAAAAAAATAAATATTTTTTGATGAGATTTGAAATTGGGATGCATTTTACATGTGAATTACTGAAAAATAACAAAAAGTTGCAAAATTTGCAAAAAAATATTTTTTGCAAAAAGTTGCAAAAAAAAAAAAATTCAGATTTTTTTCTAATTCATATGTTTAATTTATGTTTAAATTCTAATTTTGAATCATATCTGAACAAAAATTGTTGAAAAAGAATGTGAAAAACGAAAATTCTTGGCCCAGTGACGTCACGAAGACGACAAAACAAACATTTTAATATAATAGAAGATTTGTGAAAAATTTTGAAATAACGATAACTTTAAAAAAAATAAATATTTTTTGATGAGATTTGAAATTGGGATGCATTTTACATGTGAATTACTGAAAAATAACAAAAAGTTGCAAAATTTGCAAAAAAATATTTTTTGCAAAAAGTTGCAAAAAAAAAAAATTCAGATTTTTTTCTAATTCATATGTTTAATTTATGTTTAAATTCTAATTTTGAATCATATCTGAACAAAAATTGTTGAAAAAGAATGTGAAAAACGAAAATTCTTGGCCCAGTGACGTCACGAAGACGACAAAACAAACATTTTAATATAATAGAAGATTTGTGAAAAATTTTGAAATAACGATAACTTTAAAAAAAATAAATATTTTTTGATGAGATTTGAAATTGGGATGCATTTTACATGTGAATTACTGAAAAATAACAAAAAGTTGCAAAATTTGAAACAAAATATTTTTTGCAAAAAGTTGCAAAAAAAAAAAATTCAGATTTTTTTCTAATTCATATGTTTAATTTATGTTTAAATTCTAATTTTGAATCATATCCGAACAAAAATTGTTGAAAAAGAATGTGAAAAACGAAAATTCTTGGCCCAGTGACGTCACGAAGACGACAAAACAAACATTTTAATATAATAGAAGATTTGTGAAAAATTTTGAAATAACGATAACTTTAAAAAAAATAAATATTTTTTGATGAGATTTGAAATTGGGATGCATTTTACATGTGAATTACTGAAAAATAACAAAAAGTTGTAAAATTTGCAAAAAAATATTTTTTGCAAAAAGTTGCAAAAAAAAAAAATTCAGATTTTTTTCTAATTCATATGTTTAATTTATGTTTAAATTCTAATTTTAAATCATATCTGAACAAAAATTGTTGAAAAAGAATGTGAAAAACGAAAATTCTTGGCCCAGTGACGTCACGAAGACGACAAAACAAACATTTTAATATAATAGAAGATTTGTGAAAAATTTTGAAATAACGATAACTTTAAAAAAAATAAATATTTTTTGATGAGATTTGAAATTGGGATGCATTTTACATGTGAATTACTGAAAAATAACAAAAAGTTGCAAAATTTGCAAAAAAATATTTTTTGCAAAAAGTTGCAAAAAAAAAAAATTCAGATTTTTTTCTAATTCATATGTTTAATTTATGTTTAAATTCTAATTTTGAATCATATCCGAACAAAAATTGTTGAAAAAGAATGTGAAAAACGAAAATTCTTGGCCCAGTGACGTCACGAAGACGACAAAACAAACATTTTAATATAATAGAAGATTTGTGAAAAATTTTGAAATAACGATAACTTTAAAAAAAATAAATATTTTTTGATGAGATTTGAAATTGGGATGCATTTTACATGTGAATTACTGAAAAATAACAAAAAGTTGTAAAATTTGCAAAAAAATATTTTTTGCAAAAAGTTGCAAAAAAAAAAAATTCAGATTTTTTTCTAATTCATATGTTTAATTTATGTTTAAATTCTAATTTTAAATCATATCTGAACAAAAATTGTTGAAAAAGAATGTGAAAAACGAAAATTCTTGGCCCAGTGACGTCACGAAGACGACAAAACAAACATTTTAATATAATAGAAGATTTGTGAAAAATTTTGAAATAACGATAACTTTAAAAAAAATAAATATTTTTTGATGAGATTTGAAATTGGGATGCATTTTACATGTGAATTACTGAAAAATAACAAAAAGTTGCAAAATTTGCAAAAAAATATTTTTTGCAAAAAGTTGCAAAAAAAAAAAATTCAGATTTTTTTCTAATTCATATGTTTAATTTATGTTTAAATTCTAATTTTGAATCATATCTGAACAAAAATTGTTGAAAAAGAATGTGAAAAACGAAAATTCTTGGCCCAGTGACGTCACGAAGACGACAAAACAAACATTTTAATATAATAGAAGATTTGTGAAAAATTTTGAAATAACGATAACTTTAAAAAAAATAAATATTTTTTGATGAGATTTGAAATTGGGATGCATTTTACATGTGAATTACTGAAAAATAACAAAAAGTTGCAAAATTTGCAAAAAAATATTTTTTGCAAAAAGTTGCAAAAAAAAAAAATTCAGATTTTTTTCTAATTCATATGTTTAATTTATGTTTAAATTCTAATTTTGAATCATATCTGAACAAAAATTGTTGAAAAAGAATGTGAAAAACGAAAATTCTTGGCCCAGTGACGTCACGAAGACGACAAAACAAACATTTTAATATAATAGAAGATTTGTGAAAAATTTTGAAATAACGATAACTTTAAAAAAAATAAATATTTTTTGATGAGATTTGAAATTGGGATGCATTTTACATGTGAATTACTGAAAAATAACAAAAAAGTTGCAAAATTTGCAAAAAAATATTTTTTGCAAAAAGTTGCAAAAAAAAAAAATTCAGATTTTTTTCTAATTCATATGTTTAATTTATGTTTAAATTCTAATTTTGAATCATATCTGAACAAAAATTGTTGAAAAAGAATGTGAAAAACGAAAATTCTTGGCCCAGTGACGTCACGAAGACGACAAAACAAACATTTTAATATAATAGAAGATTTGTGAAAAATTTTGAAATAACGATAACTTTAAAAAAAATAAATATTTTTTGATGAGATTTGAAATTGGGATGCATTTTACATGTGAATTACTGAAAAATAACAAAAAGTTGCAAAATTTGCAAAAAAATATTTTTTGCAAAAAGTTGCAAAAAACAAAATTCAGATTTTTTTCTAATTCATATGTTTAATTTATGTTTAAATTCTAATTTTGAATCATATCTGAACAAAAATTGTTGAAAAAGAATGTGAAAAACGAAAATTCTTGGCCCAGTGACGTCACGAAGACGACAAAACAAACATTTTAATATAATAGAAGATTTGTGAAAAATTTTGAAATAACGATAACTTTAAAAAAAATAAATATTTTTTGATGAGATTTGAAATTGGGATGCATTTTACATGTGAATTACTGAAAAATAACAAAAAGTTGTAAAATTTGCAAAAAAATATTTTTTGCAAAAAGTTGCAAAAAAAAAAAATTCAGATTTTTTTCTAATTCATATGTTTAATTTATGTTTAAATTCTAATTTTAAATCATATCTGAACAAAAATTGTTGAAAAAGAATGTGAAAAACGAAAATTCTTGGCCCAGTGACGTCACGAAGACGACAAAACAAACATTTTAATATAATAGAAGATTTGTGAAAAATTTTGAAATAACGATAACTTTAAAAAAAATAAATATTTTTTGATGAGATTTGAAATTGGGATGCATTTTACATGTGAATTACTGAAAAATAACAAAAAGTTGCAAAATTTGCAAAAAAATATTTTTTGCAAAAAGTTGCAAAAAAAAAAAATTCAGATTTTTTTCTAATTCATATGTTTAATTTATGTTTAAATTCTAATTTTGAATCATATCTGAACAAAAATTGTTGAAAAAGAATGTGAAAAACGAAAATTCTTGGCCCAGTGACGTCACGAAGACGACAAAACAAACATTTTAATATAATAGAAGATTTGTGAAAAATTTTAAAATAACGATAACTTTAAAAAAAATAAATATTTTTTGATGAGATTTGAAATTGGGATGCATTTTACATGTGAATTACTGAAAAATAACAAAAAGTTGCAAAATTTGCAAAAAAATATTTTTTGCA